TGGGAGGCACAATCACGGTGGAAGGCAAGGAGGAGCAAGTCACATCTTACATGGATGGTGGCAGGCAAAGAGAGCTTCTGCAGGCAAACTCCCCCTTATAAAACTATCAGATCTTGGCCGGGCACGGTGGCTCATGCCTGTAATCCCAGCCCTTTGGGAGGCTGAGGTGGGTGGATCACCTGAGGTCAGGAGTTCAAGACCCGCCTGGCCAACATGGTGAAACCCGGTCTCTACTGAAAATACAAAAAAATTAGTTGGGCATGGTGGTGGGTGCCTATAATCCCAGCTACTTTGGGAGGCTGAGGCAGGAGAATCACTTGAACCTGGGAGGCAGAGGTTGCAGTGAGCTGAGATGGTGCCATTGCACTCCAGCCTGGGTGACAAGAGTGAAACTCTGTCTAAAAAAAAAAAAAAAAAAAAAAAAAAGCCTATCAGATCTTGTGAGACTTATTCACTATCACGAGAAAGACCTGCCCCCATAATTCAATTACCTCCCCCGGGACCCTCCCATAACACGTGGGAATTCAAGATGAGATTTGGGTGGGGACACAGCCAAACCATATCACTGGGGTTCACGCACCCGAGCTAAACAGCACCCCTCCCAAGGAGGGAAGAAGGGAAGGAATCTCCAGACCTGCCCAATCTAAAGGAAAAGCCCCAAAAGGGGAGGCCCCTTGCTCATGGGAAAGAAATGGCGGCTTTTCGAGCTGGGCTACTTACAGGGTAAAGTGAGGCATGTACTCCACAGCGTGGGTAAGAGATGACACCCTCCAGGAGAGAAAGCAAGTGTGTTGAGAACACAAGACAAAAAAAAAGAGAAGCTCCTTAATCCCGTGTCATCCTCCCACCCACCTGGGATGTGCTTAAGATGCTACCCTCTGCCCTCTACTGGGCTCCATGGGAAATACAACGGGGTGGGTGGGTGGGTGGAGAAGAAAAGAGATTATCACCAGGTCTGAAGTGACCGCACAGCATTTCTTTATTCTTTTTTTTCTTTTCTTTTTTTTTTTGAGATGGAGTCTCGTTGTGTCACCCAGGCTGGAGTACAATGGCGCAATCTTGGCTCACTGCAACCTCCAGCTACCGGGTTCACGCCATTCTCCTGCCTCAGCCTCCCAAGTAGCTGGGACTACAGGCGCCTGCCACCACGCCCAGCTAATTTTTGTATTTTTGGTAGAGACAGGGTTTCACCATGTTAGCCAGGCTGGTCTTGAACTCCTGACCTCAGGTGATCCGCCTGCCTCGGCCTCCCAAAGTGCTGGGATTACAGGCATGAGCCACTGCACCTGGCCAGCATTTCTTTTCTTTTTAATTTTTTCTTTCTTTTTTTTTTCTGTAGAGATGGGGTCTCCCTATCTTGCCCAAGCTGGTCTCAAACTCCTGGGCTCAAGCGATCCTCCTGCCTTGGCCTCCCAAAGTGCTGGGATTACAGGTGTGAGCCACCACGCCTGGTCGCAGTGATAATTTCAATAACAATAAAGACTATGATTAATCATCATAGCCAACATTTACTGAGGACAACTCTGTTCCAGGCACTCTATTCTGCGGTCTTCTTTTTTTTTTTTTTTTTTTTTAAATTTTAAAACAATTTTTTATTTTTTTATTGAGACAAGATCTCACTATGTTGCCCAGGCTGGTCTCAAACTCCTCTCACCTCCCAAAGCTGTGGGTTTACAGGTGTGAATCAACAAGGCAAGCAGTAAAGAACGTTTTGACTCCATTTTGTGGCCGCTGCCAAGAGGAGAAAAGGGATTGAACAAAACTGTTTCAAGGAGAGTGGTCCAGCAGCCAGGCGCGGTGGCTCACGCCTGTAATCCCAGCAGTTTGGGAGGCCAAGGCGGGTGGATCACCTGAGGTCAGGAGTTCAAACCCACATGGAGAAATCCCGTCTCTACTAAAAATACAAAAATTAGCCACGTGTGGTGGCAGGTGCCTGTAATCCCAGCTACTCAGGAGGCTGAGGTAGGAGAATCACTTGAATCCAGGAGGTGGAGGTTGCAGTGAGCTGAGATCATGCCACTGTACTCCAGCCTGGGCAACAAAGCAAGACTCTATTTCAAAAAAAATAAAGGAGAGTGGTCCAAAGAGCCCCGTTGTGAATTTTGACTGTCCAGCTCATGAAAGCCATGAAAAATTTCCTTTTAAAAAATACAATGTTAAAAAAGATAATTTCTCCCTCAGACTTAATATATTAATGGGCTTGGAAAGACTGATTTTTCAATGAAGAGCTCACCAAGTCAGCCAGGGAAAATAAAACACAGCAACAACAAACACACATGCCCACACGCACACCCACACACACACACCAGCCTCACAAAAGCTTAAACACACAGCATCTTAATAAGGCACCAAAATGCCTACTGGTTATGTTTATGCTCTTTTTAATTGTGCTAAAATATACCTAACATAAAATCTACCATTTTAATAATTTCTTCTTTATTTTATTATTATTATTATTATTATTATTTCCATTTTCTAAGAGACAGGATCCTGCTCTGTTACCCAGGCTGCAGTGCAGTGATGCAATCATAACTCACTGCAGCCTCGAACTCCTGGGTTCCAGCAATCCTCCCGCCTCGGCCTCCTGAGTAGCTGGGACTACAGGCATAAGCCACTGTGCCTGGCCCATTGTAACCATTTCTAAGTGCACATTTGAGTGGCATTAAACTCATTCAGTGTTGGGCAACCATCACCACCATCCACCTCCAGAATGTTTTCATCTTCCCAAACTGAAACTCTGTCCCCATTCAGCCACCTCTCATCTCCCCTTCTGTATTAGCCAGGGTTCTCTAGAGGGAGAGAGCTAATGGTATATATATAAGGGGAGTTTATTAAGTGTTAACTCACACAATCCCAGGGTCCCACGATAGGCTGTCTGCAGGCTGAGGAACAAGAAGAGTCAGTCCGAGTTCCAAAACTGAAGAACTTGGCGGGCAGAAAGAATCCAGCACGGGAGAAAGATGGAGGCTGGGAGGCTAGGCCAGTCTCTCCTTTCACATTTTTCTGCCTGCTGTTATTCTAGCCATGCTGGCAGCTGATTAGATGGTGCCCACCCAGATTAAGAGTGGGTGGGCCTTTCCCAGCCACTGACTCAAATGTTCATCTCTTTTGGCAACATCCTCACAGACACACAAGGGTCAATACTTTGTATCCTTCAATCCAATCGAGTTGACACTCAGTATGAACCATGGCACCCTCCTCCCAGCTCCTGGTAACCTATTTTCTACTTTCCATCTCTATGACTTTGGTAACTCTAAGTGCCTCAGATATGTGAGTTATGTGTTTTTTAAGTACCCAAATTAAACTAAACTGTTTAGTTTTACTAAGAAGAAAAAGGCACGGTGAGGCACACGTTGCAATCTCTAATAATAAAAAAAAAATACGATTTGCAAGATGACAAATGTGGCCCACACACATATTATTTTTTTTTCTGGAAATGGTCTGCAAACAAATTTAAAATATAAAATGTTTTAACAAGAAAAGAAGGGAAGCAGCAAATAGCAACAGCCCAGCAGTTGTTTAAGGAAAGTTCCAGAAAGTGGTGGTGGGGGTGGGGTGGGTGGGGAAGCCAGTCCTTTCCTGCCTAAGCAGGGAAGCCCCGTGGCTACCCACCGCTTCTCCCCCTAGCTACTGGATACCTGCTCACAGGTGTTTATAAGCTGAGTGGCTCTCCTGTCCCAGCTGTCACAGTCCCACTGGCTGGGTAGCCAGAGGCAACAGGTTTGGGTTCTGAGCCAGGAAGTTAAGAAGCCAGGCAGGGCAACCCCGCCACCCCGATGTCAGAGGCATTTGAACCAGAGCAACTCCATCTTGAAGAGGAGCTGGGTAGAATGAGGCCGAGACCTTCTGGGCAACATTGCCAGACGGTTAAGGTATTCTAAGTCACAGGATGAGATAGGAGGTCGGCGATAGATACAGGTGCTAAAGACCTTGCTGATAAAACAGGTTGCAATAAAGAAGCTGGCAATACCCCAGCAAACCCAACATGGCCACCAGAGTGACCTCTGGTCACCCTCACGGCTACACTCCCACCAGCGCCGTGACAGTTTACAGATGCAATGGCAACGTCAGGAAGTTCCCCTATGTGATCTAAAAGGGAGAGGCATGAATAATCCACCCCTCCTTTAGCATATCATCAAGAAATAACCATAAAAACGGGCAACCAGCAGCCCTCGGGGCTGCTCTGTCTGCGGAGTAGCCATTCTTTTATTCCTTTACTTTCCTCATAAAGTTGATTTCGCTTTACTCCGTGGACTCGCCCCGAATTCTTTCTTGCAAGAGATCCAAGAACCCCCTCTTGGGGTCCGGATCGGGTCCTGTAACACAGGCTCACCTGCTCCTGTTTAACAGATACCCCCTAGGGCTCCTCCGAAGGGGCCAGCTCCAAGTCTGGGCTGGACCCTTTTCCTCTGTGATCCTGGCTTCCTGTTGCCAAGGGAAGAAACCGTCCAGAAAGGCCCTCACCCAGAGCCCCCTAAACCCTTGAAGGAGGATCCCCGATCCCTCCAGCATCATGCTGTAGTTTTCTCCCTACAAACAACTCCATCGACTTCCTTTTTCTCCAGGGAGAGTTCAGGGACCTCTCCGTGGTGAGTTAAACATCCCATCTCTACTAAAAAAAAAAAAAAATACAAAAAAAAACTAGCCAGGCAACGTAGTGGGCGCCTGTAGTCCCAGCTACTCGGGAGGCTGAGGCAGGAGAATGGCATGAACCCGGGAGGCGGAGCTTGCAGTGAGCTGAGATCCGGCCACTGCACTCCAGCCTGGGCGACAGAGCGAGACTCTGTCTCAAAACAACAACAACAACAACAACAACAACAAAACATCAAATCCGTATAAAAACTGCTCCGGATTCTGCCTAGGTTCTCAGCATCTGGCAAAAACATTTGCAGACCAAGGTCTCTGAGCACATCTTGCTGGGGATTTTTGTTGTTGGTTTTTTTCGTTGTTGTTTTTTTTGGGGGGGAGCTCTCGTGATTTCTAAATTACATCATGGGGCAGAGCAGAATAGAGGGAGTCAGAGTGGCATCCTTTTAAAAAACATGAACCGTTTCAAGCACAGCGTTTGACGGAGGGTAGACGGTATGAACTTGATCCCACAGGCCTAGTTACTTGCCTTGTGCAAGGCCCCCCGCTCCCCTTCCCGCTTGGAATCATCTTTGTCTAGGAAAAGGATTTCACGCCGGGTCTTTGAGAACACCTCTCAGGCCTGACCGTGGCCTTGGGAAGAAGACTCCCAGGCTGAGGGTCTTGTTGAGAGTTTTAATGTCCCCTTCAGGGACATCTTTGCCTTTCTTTCTTTCAGAAGGGGAATCAGTTCTGGACAGGAGGATGCCTCCCTGCGTTTGCCCTCCCTGCCTTCCCCCACATCCTTCTCTGGAAAGGAGAATGAGGATGAGAATGACCTCCCTCTGCAGGACGAGGTGGGCACGGATTTAATGAAGGATTTCACTCTCAATCGGGCTCAGCTGCAAGCAGGGCAGATGGGGCTGAGCAGGGGTGTGTGGTGGGGTCTGCTCCGGGGAGATGGGAGCAGGAGCATCTGCAGAGTGGAGGCAGGAGGGTCGAAGAGCTCGGGAACCAGACAGTTCTCAGGCGACTCCCGGGAGGCTGGCTTTGATACCATCCCAGAATCTGGTTCAGAGTCAAAGCAAAGGGATGAATTTGTTAGCTGGAACAGGGCCCTGAATTCTCCCCAGGAAATTCACTGAAAGAGAGATTTAACCCGCGAGAGTTCCAGCCAAACAATGAATCACCCGACTTCCCTCCCGTCTTTCGTCTTTCGCAGCCCACGTTTCGCTTTCCTACCTTGGATTAGATAAATTAATGCAGAACATCCGGAAACTCCCGGGACCCTTTGAAGTTTTCAAAGGGCCTCTGCCTACTTTGTCTCCTGTGATCCCCCTGGCAGCCCCCACAGGTGAACGGGGAGAGGAGGTTGGGGTGTGGTCCTCATACAAATGGAGACACAGCAGAACACTAAAGGTGAATGACTTTCCCCAGGTCCCAGCCTGAGGATCAGAGCCCAGGTCTCCCGCCTCATTCCTCGGTGGTTCTGGAGTTCAGGCAACTTCACACCGTGGTGTAGGGAGAAGCGTGAACCCAAAGGTTGAAGCCATGTCTTAGACAAATCACTTCTTTCCCCTGGGCTGTGTCTCCTCTTCCTCTTTTTTTTTTTTTTTTTTTTTTTTTTTTGAGATGGTCTCACTCTGTTGTCCAGGCTCACTGGGCGGTGGCAGTGGCACGATCTTGGCTCACTGCAACCTCCGCCTCTCAGGCTCAAGTGATCCTCCCGTCTCACCCTCCAGAGTAGCCAGGATGAGAATGACCTCCCTTCGCAGGACGAGGTGGCCACTGATTTAATGGACTTCACTCTCAGTCAGGCTCAGCCGCAGGGAGGGCAGATGGAGCTGGGCAGGGGGCTGTGGTGGGGTGTAGCTAGGACTACAGTTGCATGCTACCACACACGGCTAATTTTTATACTTTTTGTAGAGATAGGGTCTCACTGTGTTGCCCAGGCTGATCTGGAACTCCTAGGCTCAAGCAGTCCTCCTACCTCAGCTTCCTGAGTAGCTGGGACTACAGGCTCACACCACTACACTTGGCCGATTTTTAAATTTGTTTATAGAGTCAGAGTCTCGCTATATTGCCCAGGCTGTATACTGTATTGCTTGTATACTATATTGCTTGTATACTCCCGTCCTCAAGCAATCCTCCTGCCTCACCCTCTCAAAGTTCTGAGATTACAAGCGTGAGCCAGTGCACCCCGCCTCTCCTCTTTTTTAATGGCTGGGCTGGGCTCTCTAGAACTGTGCTGTCTAACGTGGTAGCAACTAACTCCATGTGACTTTTTGAAGTTAAACTAATTTAAACTAAATAAAAATTAAAAACTGGTTCCTCAGTCTGACTACCCCATCCAAAGTGCTCAGTAACTGCATGTGACTAATGGCTCCCATATTGGATGGCACAGAAATAACATTTCCGTCATCACAGAACGTTCTGTTGTCCAGCAACGGGACAGGGCTGGTCAAACTGCAGCCTCAGGGCAAATGCAGTCTGCTGCCTGTTTTTGTAAATAAAGTTTCGTGGGAACAGGGACACACCCATTTATTTATATATTGTCTTTGGCCCCTGTCAGGCAACCAGCGCAGATCTGAGTAGCTGTGACCGAGATGATAAGGCCCGAAAGACCTAAAATATTCACTGTCGGGTCCTTTACGGAAAGCATGCCGACTTCCGCTCTGGAAGACGGAAAATCTCCAGAGTTCCACCCAGACCACTCAGTGTCATTCAGAGGCCCAGAATCATCCCACACTGCAGAGATCCCGCCTCTCCCTGTCCCAGGTATTGGGATTCATGGAACACATCTACCTGTGTGTGTGTTTCCAGAAAGGAAATGTAGTTCTTCATTTTTTTATTTTTGAGACAGGGTCTCACTCTCTTCACCTGGCTGGAGTGCAGTGATATGATTGAGGCTCACTGCAGCCTTGACCTCCTAGATTTCCATACTCAAGTGATCCTTTTGCCTCAGCCCCACCAGTAGCTGAGACTACAACAGGCATGAGCCATCACACCTGGTTAATTTTTAAAAAATTTTTAGTACAGGCAGAGGGTCTCACTATGTTGCCCAGGCTGGTCTGGAATTCCTGGGCTCAGGTGATCCTCCGGTCTCGGTCTCCCAAAGTACTGGGATTACAAACATGAGCCACCATGCCCAGCCCTAATAATTTTCAATTCAGGGCCAATCTCATTTCATCTGTTCCTCTACCCACTTTAGATGAGCCCTCGATTCTTTTGAAGCAGATTTCAGTCATTCTGTCACTTAATATGTAAATATTTCAGTATGCATCTCTCAAAAACATAAGCACGATACCAGTATCACAGCTAAAGATATTCACAATAATTCCTTAATCAAATGTGCAGTGTTCAAAGTTCCCTAATTTGTCTCATAGATATTTTTTCTTGTATTATTTTAAAATCTGCTTTGGGATCTAAATCAGATCCATGTGTTGTGATGGGCAGTTGGATCTCTTTGCCTTCTTTAACCTATTACCCTCTCCCTCTTTTTCCTTACAATTCACTTAATGAAAAAATTGGATTATTTGTCCTATAGAGCTAGCCACAGCCTGCACGGTCTGCGATTATTATTATTATTGAGACAGGGTCTTGCCCTGTGCCCCAGGCTAGAGTGCAGTATCACAGTCACAGATCAATACAGCCTCAACCTTTTGGGCTCAAGTGATCCTCCCACCTCAGCCTCCAGAGTAATTGGGACTGCAGGCATATGCCAACACACAGATAATTTTTATATTTTTTGTACAGATGGAATTTTGCCATGTTGCTCAGGCTGGTCTCCAACTCCTGGCCTCAAGTGATCCACCCACCTTGGCTTCCCAAAGAGCTGGGATTATAGGCCACAGTCTGGATTTCGATGATGACATCTCCATGGTGTCATTTGACAGGTTCTTCTGTCCTCTTCATTTTCTGTAGCTCAGTAGTTGGATCTAGTGTTGATCACATTCAGTTTTTGGGGTTTGGCAAGAATATTTCATAGTGTAGTGTCCTGTCCTTCCACTGGGGGGCACAGAGTGCTTGGTTTGTGTCGTTTTTAGAGGTTGTTCACGTTCTTTAATGGTTATTGCTTAGATCCGTTAATTCATTACGACATGTAAAATGCTGATATTCAAATTCTACATTCCTCTTCCTTAATTAGCTAGAATACTTCTATAACAAGGACCTTCCCCTTATCAACCATTTGGTCACACTGATGTATCATTGCCGTAAGAAAGGTAGGATAAATGCTTAAATTTTTTTCCCTTTTACTGACCAGTTTTCAAAATAATGAGGGGGTATCCTACTATCCTCCAAAGGTGACCAATGAGGGATTTTTTTTCTTCTTTTTTTTACGAATCATGAATTCATGGACTTAAACCCATTCACTTTGTTTCAATCCATTCAACTAGTCAACCTCAAGGATGCCAAGGTGTGGAAGAGAATGTGTTGAGTCAACTCTTCCTACATCACTGACCAGCCAACTTCTAAGCACAAAAGCTGTCAGGCTGGCTGGGGCCAGAGTCTCCTCACCTTTTCACAGGCCATAGGAGAGTCTCCTCCTACGCCCCACCCTGGTCAACCCAAGACCTGCTCATGTGCAGATGCATGCTTCAGAGACAGAGCAGCAGGATGCTCTAGAACCAAGCCAGTGGGTGGGAGGGGCCAGGCATCTCTCTTGCTCAAGAGTGAGACACCAGGCAGGATGCAGGGGCTCATATCTGTAATCCCAGCCCTTTAGGAGGCTGAGGCAGGAGGATCACTTGAGGCCAGGGGTTTGAGGCTGCAGTGAGCCACGATCACACCACTGCACTCCAGCCTGGGCACCACAGGCAAGACCTCATCTCTACAAAAAATTTTAAAAATCAGCAGGGCATGGTGATGTGCCCCTATAGTCCCAGCTACTTGGGAGGCTGAGGCGGGAGAATAATTTGAGCCCAGGAATTTGAGGCTGCAGAGAGCTGTGATTGATTGCACCACTGCACTCTAGCCTGGGAAACAGAGTGAGACCCTGTCTCTAAAAAAAAGGAGAGAGTGAGACACTTGTATTCCATTTTTCATGGTGGGGACGTCCCCTGTTGGGCTACAGTTAATGCAAGCACTGATCCTAAGCCTTAAAATGCACACACACAAACATACACATCACACACACACACACACACACCCCAACGTGCACACAACTGCTGTTCATGAGGAAAAATAATTTCCAGGCTTCTGTTCCCACCTGCTCTACACACAGATGCTCTCGTATCTCATAATTGGCCAACTTATCTAGTTTGATAAGTAAATAGATTTTGCTTTAGAGGACACAGCTCCGTCTACCTCTGTGTAAGTTTCCTTTTTACTCCACCCACCTCAGAACTCACGCTGTTCCCAAGCAGTGAACTAACAGGAGAATGTCTAGTTTAAGGGAGATTTTTAATGCCATTCCCAAACCCTACAGGTACTCACCAGTATTCTGTTTATTTTATTTGCTCATTCCCTGCTCAGGACAGGATATTGAAGGTGAATTATTTATACTCCAAGAAACCAAAAGAAAGAGAGAGGGAAAAAAAGCAAGAGCAAGGAAACAGTACTTTCTGTATGGCTGTTTTTCAGGTTTCTGCCGATCTTACTAAAAATATTTTTTCCTTACTCCATTTTTGTACAGAAAATGTCATGTGTGTACTGCCACTGAAAAGCAACGTTACTGATTTATTTAAAATATTTATACTGAATTGCCACATTAAGATAGACACATGCATTAGCAGGAGTGATTCAGAACAATGTGCCCACGAAGTTTATTTTTGAATCAAAGTTGAGAAGGCTGTGTGTCTACAAACATCAAATGACTCATTTTTTGCTAATTACTGACACCTGCAGCCGATTCACTCTCTGCTAAAACTCAGCATTTCAGTTAATTTCTGCTCTAATTAGTGTGGTAACAAATGCATCTCCTACTTGATATAGAAATACAGAAGGCTGCACAATGACTCTGGGGGCTTCCAACTTTCTTCCTAAAATTCTAGCAGAGAAATCTAGAAATGCCAACGGTCGGGCTTCACGGCCTGACCTAGGTGTTCAGAGGTTCCTCCGCCAAAGGGCAGGGCTACTTAGAAGCCAGGTAATCTCTTAAGATGGGGTAGTGGAGCGTGCGGGGGTTGGGGGTTAGAAAATCCTACGTTTGCATTTCTGCTCTGCCATTCACATGCTGTGCAACCTTGAACAAATCGCTTAGCCCCTCTGAGCCATAAGATGGAGAGAAATGACGCGTCCCGTATCACTGGGATGTTGTCCAGGCAAAGTGCTGGGAACACGGGAAGTGGTCCATCCTCACTATTCCCATGGTTAAGACTCAAGATCAGACTGACTTTCCTTCCCTCCCTCCCTCCCTCCCTCCCTCTCTTCCTCCCTCCCTTCCTCCCTCCCTTCCTCCCTTCCTTCCTTCCTTCCTTCCTCCCTCCGTTCCTCCCTTCCTTCCTTCCTTCCTTCCTCCCTCCGTTCCTCCCTTCCTTCCTTTCTTTCAATGGAGTCTCGCTGTATCGCCCAGGCTAGAGTGCAGTGGTGCGAGGTGTGATCTCGGCTCACTGCAGCCTCCACCTCCCAGATTCAAGCAATTCTGCCTCAGCCTCCCAAGTAGCTGGGACTACAGGCACGTGCCACTACACCCAGCTAATTTTTGTATTTTTTTTTTCTTTAGTAGAGATGGGGTTTCGCCCTGTTGGCCAGGCTGGTCTTGAACTGGTAAGCTCAAACTCTCCGCCTGCCTCGGCCTCCCAAATTGCTGGGATTACAGACAGGAGCCACTGTGCCCAGCCCAGACCCTCTTTTCTCAACCCCCAAAACCGCTCCTGCCAAAGTGACTCCCGCTTTGCGTTCCCCAACCTTAGCTCCTGACAATTTCCACTGCCCCTGTGGTCCTGTCTGGCTCCGGCCTCCAGCCAGCCCAAGATACGGTCTTTCTCTTATCTTAAGTGGGCCTTTTTCTTTCCCAAGCCCAACCCTCTGCATGGAGAACACACACACACACACCACACACACACACATATACACACACACACACCACACACACACACCACACATACACACACCACACACACACACACACAGAAGGGAGGAAGGAGAAAAAAGATAAAAGATTTGATAGCCACCATGTGTCTGGCACCCAGCACGTAATGACAATGATAATGTTTTCTCTGTTGCAAGCTGCTTTGCAGAGCTCTTTATGGCCAATGACTCATTAAATCTTCATGACTCCCGCGAGATACATACTCTCATTTCCCCATTTTATGGATGAGAAAACCGAGACTTTAGAGAAAAGTAGTCCAAGAAGATATAAACAGACAATTCACAGAAGGGGACATCAACATTGCCTTTTGGGCTTAGAGAGAGTTACTCAGCCTCACAGTCAAGGAAGTGCGAATTAATTATGGGATAGTATTTTTCATCTGTTAGTCTAGAAAATGAAAAGAACAGTAGGTAACTTGGAATGGCACAAGAAAATGCGAAACCGGGTACTCAAATTCCTTGTTCATGAGTGTGAACTGCTTTAAACTTTACACAAATTAACCTTACAATGTCTATTAAAATTTAAAATGCATGCTCTTTGAGCAAGAAACCTCACTTTTGGGAATCTATCCTACGCAAGTAAAACCAACGACGCATGAAAAACATAGAGGAGGATGTTTATTGTAGCACTGTTTGGGACAAGGAAAATGAATGATTCTTTTTTTTTTTTTCTTTTTTGAGACAGAGTCTCGCTCTGTTGCACAGGCTGGAGTGCAGTGGCACGATTTCAGCTCACTGCAACCTCTGCCTCCCAAATTCAAACAATTCTCCTGCCTCTATCTCCCGAGTAGCTGGGATTATAGGCGCACGCCACTACACCTGGCTAATTTTTGTATTTTTAATAGAGACAGGGTTTTACCATGGCCAGGCTGGTCTTGTACTCCTGACCTCAGGTGATCCTCCCACCTCAGCCTTCCAAAGTGCTGGGATTACAGGCGTGAGCCATTGTGCCTGGCCGGCAAATGAATGAATTTTACTGCATGGTTTGTAGTGGAGGAAAAAGCAACAACCAAGGATGGTATAGTATTGTTTGGAGTGGGGGAAAATAGAAACAAATAAAGTAAATTTTCATCTATAGAGTAGCTGGATTCATTTAGATATATCCATATTATAGAATACTATGTAGCAGTTTAAAATAATGAATTGAAACTCTACTGCTGGATTGCTGAGTGAAAAATCAATCCAACCTACTCCTTGAAACGTGTCACAAGTAGACAACGCTTTTGAATAATGAGACACCATGTTTCATTGTATTGGGGGGGAAATACCAAACTACATTCCCAACCCATTCAAACACCCTCAGCAATTTCCAAAAAGTACTAAAGTTGTCTCCAACCCCCGTATGACAATCCACCAAGCATTTTTGCATAACATTGAGCATTTAAAACACCAATACCGAGTGGGGCAGATTGCTTGAGCTCAGGAGTTCGAGACCAGAAGACTGGGAAACATGGCGAAACCCTGTCTCTACAAAAACAAAACAAAACAAAACAAAATAATTAGCTGGGTGTGGTGGTGCACACCTGTAGTCCCAGCTACTTGGGAGGCTGAGGTGGGAGGATCCTTGAGACCAGGGAGGTCAAGGCTGCAGTGAGCTGTGATTGTGCCACTGCACTCCAGCCTGGGTGACAGAGTGAGACCCTGTCTCTAAAAAAAAAAAAAAAAAAGCAAAGACAAAAACAGAGAACCCCGATAACCTAATTAAATGATTATGTTATTAATAATTAGCAATAATAATTAATGATATCTAGTAATAATTAATAATGAATGCATAATAAATTGATAAATATAATAAATTGATGATTTAGAGTAAATAAATAGCCCGGGATGAACACAATAGAGGGCACGTGTGTCTGCATTCATTGGGAATGTTTTCTTCCTCGCCTGGAATTAGCGAACTCTGTGACATAAGCAAATGGGGAAATGTTATCTGAAAGATACACGATGCATGCAAGGAAGGCTTAGCAAAGTGAAATAAACAAGGGGACTTTTAATAATGGTGGTTTCCTGATGGGAGCATTATCTGAATGAGGGGACAGCCCCACTAGTCCCCCATCTCTCTGACTCCTGGCCCACCCAGGTGCTTCCCCCTGCAGCCCTGAGTGGGCTGCCTCGGGTTTTCAGAAGTCAGTGAGTGTAAACTCCTTTCTTCCTGGCAGTCATTCCCGTGTCTGCAAAGTCTTAGCATCTCAGATTAAAGCAATTCCCAGGTGTGTGAAAACATCAGGCCTGTCTGTGGGGCAGAGTCTTGGCCGGGGTGGGGAGCGACGGGAGATGTGTGTCATCCTTCCTGGCACTCTCAGGGCCGTGGGAACAAGAGGCTTGGAAAGGAGCAAGTGGAGCACGGTGAGGTGGGGACTGCAACAGGGGAGGGGCAGCTGCAGGAGCCCTGGGGGCCTAGAGGAGCCACAGCCCCTCGCTGCAGGCCAGAGTGAGGTCTGAGGGCTTCTCGGAGGAGGGAGGTTGCAAGTACATGGTGGGGAAAGTGCAGACGTCTGTCAAGGGCACCCACAAAGGTGATGCAGGAGGAAGCGTTGTGGCTGGAGACCAGGGCCGGTCCAGAGACTGGCCAGTGAGAATACGAAAGGCTTCTGACATCCACAGGGCCTGGTTGTGGCAATCCTGATGAAACCTGCTAGGCTGTCTGGACCCTGCCCATTAGGCAAAAGGAGCCACTCAAGAAGATCCCACCCAGCTGATGCCAGTTTCAGCTCAATCTGGTCTGTGGCTAGGGGCAGATTGGGAGAAATCAATGCCTCAGTTTTTTTGTCAGGATCAATGGATGGCTGCCGCTTGCAGATGTTGCATCTGGGATAAAGTGAAGGGACAAGTTTGGAGCCAGGGCTTGGTGGCCGAAATGTGTGTGTGTTGGGAGAGCAATGAGCCAGGAAGCTCCCCTGGTCCTGGCTTGGAAGGTGGGTGGGTGTTGGAGCATTTCATGAGCAGGGCCACAAGGTCAGCACTGGGTTTGGGAGTAGACACTCCTTGTGAGAAGAAGGCAGCCTGGCCCGGTGCAGTGGCTCACGCCTGTAATCCCAACACTTTGGGAGGCCAAGGCACGAGAATTGCTTGAGCCCACGGGTTCAACTTCAGCCTGGGTGATATGGTTTGCATCTGTGTTCCCACCCAAATCTCATGTTGAATTGTTAGCCCCAGTGCTGCAGGTGGGGCCTGATGGGAGGTGATTGGATCATGGGAGAGGACTTCTCCCTTGCTGTTCTCGTGATACTGAGTGAGTTCTCACGAGATCTGGTTGTTTATGTAGCATCTCCCCACTCTTTCTCTTCCTCCTCCTCCGGCCGTGTAAGGCGTGTTTGCTTCACCCTTGCCTTCCACCATGATTGTGAGTTTCCTGAGGCCTTCCCCAGCCATGCTTCCTGTATAGTCTGTGGAACGGTGAGTCAATTAAACCTCTTTTATTTATAAATTACCCAATCTCAGGTAGTTCTTTATAGCAATGCAAGAACAGACTAATACACTAGGAAACATAGCAAGACCGCTACATCTCTACAAACTAACACCACCAACAACAAAAAATTAGCTGGGCATGGTGGTGCATGCCTGTAGTTCCAGCTACTCAGGAGGCTGAGGCAGGAGGATTGCTTGAGCCCAGGGGTTAAGGCTGCAGTGAGCTATAATTGAGCCACTGCACTCCAGCCTGGGTGACAGAGTGAGACCCTGTCTCAAAACAACAAAAAGGCCAGGTGCGGTGGCTCATGCCTGGAATCCCAGCACTTTGGGAGGCTGAGGTGGGCAGATCACCTGAGGTCAGGAGTTCAAGACCAGCCTGGCCAACATAGTGAAACCCTGTCTCCACTAATAATACAAAAATCAGCTGGGCTTGGTGGCAGGGAACTATAATCTCAGCTACCCGGGAGGCTGAGGAAGGAGAATCACTTGAACCTGGGTGGCAGAGGTTGCAGTGAGCTGAGATCGTGCCACTGTATTCCAGCCTGGGCAACAAAGTGAGACTGTCTCAAAAAAAAAAAAATGCCAGGCATGGTGGCACATACCTGTAATCCCAGCACTTTGGGAGGCCGAGGTGGGTGGATCACCTGAGGTCAGGAGTTGGAGACCAGCCTGGTCAACATGGTGAAACCACGTCTCTATTAAAAATACAAAAATTACCTGCGCATGGTGGCGGGCGCCTATAATCCCAGCTACTTGGGAGGCTGAGGCGGGAGAATTGCTTGAACCCAGGAGGCACAGGTTGCAGTGAGCCAAGATTGTGCCATTGTACTCCAGCCTGGGTGACAAGAGCAAAACTCCATCTCAGCAAAAGCTGAAATTAGTGAAGGGAAAGCTTGAAATCACCCGTGCTGTATTCTCACCAATGTAGGTCAACCTCATCAAAAAACTCACTTCCTGTCTCTCCAGTTCTGTCTCCCTGTCTTCTTTTTTCTCCTTTTCTCCTCCCTAAGATATGTTTTGAGCATCAGGTATTGGGCAGCCTACACATGACATTAAGGAGAACCTGGCAATAATTGTAGGTGACGTAACATTCATGAATGAGATCCTTGGTTTTAACTTTACTACTCAGAATGTGAATCTATTTCTCCAAAACTAGGGTGGAATCCTGAATAGAGGCACATGTGAGACAGAAAGCTCTAGGCTGGGCGCAGTGGCTCATGCCTGTAATTCCAGCACTTTGGGAGGCCGAGGTGGGAGGATCACTTAAGCCCAGGAGTTTGAGACCAGCCTGGGAAAGATGGCCAAACCCAGTCTCTACCAAAAAAAAAAAAAAAAAAAATTAGAAAGCAAAAATTAGCCAGGTGTGGACACATGCACCTGTAGTCTCAGCTACTTGGGAAAGTGAGGCAGGAGAATTGCTTGAGGCCAGGAGGCAGAGGTTGTAGTGAGCCGAGATCGTGCCACTGCACTCCAGCCTGGGCAACAGAGCAGGACCCTATCGCAAAAAAAAAAAAAAAAAAAAGTCTGCCCATATGAGTTGAGCAGCCTCATGAAGATATCCTTTCTGAGCTTGTTTTCCCAGCTCTAAAATACAATACAAACTATCCCGCGGCGTGTATTAGGGCCCAATGAAATTACTCTGATAGGGCTATTATTGCCTTTCTTCTTATAGCCGTTCTTATTTTTGACTTTGGAGGTATCAAATATTCAGCCCATGCCAGAGTGAGGATCTCCTTTTCACCTTCTGTCTAAATTGTGCCTTGAATCTGTTTCGCGCTAGGTGCGAACTGGGTGAGACGCTTTTTGTAAAACTCAAACCCTGGCAACCCCACAACACCTGACCTCGAGCTGGTTTCCATAGCCTGAATCCTTCCTCTCTAATTTGCAAACAACTTTCTTAGTAAATGATTACAGAGCAGAATGCAATCCCTTCTATAAGAGATATGACTCAGAACAAATTGTAGCCGCGTTTTTTCTGCTCATTTTTCTCCTGCGTGGTGCGTGCTGCATCATCTTAAAGATCTCTTTGTTTGACAGTCAAGTGCATTAGTGTAGACAAGTGTGATATTTCTTCTCTTGTAATAATTATTTCCTCTTATAATTTCTGAGTTGTATCATAGCTTCTAACATCGTCCCCCAGCCCTTAAACATAAAGATTTCCCCTGGACGCCACTAGCAATGTTCCATGCAAAATGAATGACATCAGCAGAATAGAATAAACTTGTAGAAAGATCTTCTAGGAAGAAAGCAAATAAGAAGATCATAGGAAAAGCTTATAGAAAGATCAGCTAAGGGCTGAGACGGGCGGATCACAAGGTCAGGAGATCAAGACCATCCTAGCCAACATGGCGAAACCCGTCTCTCTTAAAAATACAAAAATTTAGCTGGTCGTGGTCGCGCGCCTGTAGTCCCAGCTACTCAGGAGGCTGAGGGAGGAGAATCGCTGGAACCTGGGAGGCGGAGGTTGCAGTGAGCAGAGATCACGCCACTGCATTCCAGCCTGGCAACGGAGCGAGACTCCGTCTCAAAAAAAAAGAAAAGAAAATCATCTAAGCAGGAAGAACATTGCTTTGCAAGAAAAATGCCTACTTATTCATTTAACAACAGTTCCAAACAAAAGCAGTGTGTTCATCAAAGGTTCAGGCAGCTTGTATCATCTCTAATTATAATATAATTTTTAATGGTGGCAACCTGATGATTACATTCACAATGTTTGTTTATCAAAAGGTCTGAGGGGCCACCAAGAAACTCTTTCAGCAGTGCTCTGTACACTAATGAAGTTGCAAAGCTCTCAAATGCAGAGAGGACATAAAAGTCATGGCAATAAAAGAGCTTAAATTCCCCGAGCCCGAAGTGCTTGCCTACTCCATCACCGGCCATCAATAGGTACTTTGCTCTGAGGACATCAGGTGGTGTTAGCAACCTGTGGATTTGATGGAGGGGAGCCCAGAAGCCAGGAAGTCACTGATGGGCCAGGGCTAGAGTCACAGGTGATGGTGAGACCCAGGCTACTCAAAGTATGGTCCCCAGACCAGGTGCCTGGCGTCACCTGGGAGCTTGTGAGAGGTGCAGAATGAGGCCACCCAGACCTGTAGTATCAGAAACTGCTAAAGGTACGGCGGTTCACATCTGTAATCCCAGCACTTTGGGAGGCCAGGGTGGGCAGATCACTTGAGGTCAGGAGTTCGAGACCAGCCTGGCCAACATGGTGAAACCCCATCTCTACTAAAAATACAAAAAGCAGCCAGGTGTGGTGGCGCACACTTGTAGTTCTAGCTACTTAGGAGGCTGAAACAGGAGAATCGCTTGAACCCGAGAGGCAGAGGTTTCAGTGAGCCAAGATGGCACCACTGAACTCCAGCCTTGGTGCCAGAGTAAGACTCCATCTCAAAAAAAAAAAAACAAAACTGCCAATGCACAGGTGACCCATGTGCTCATTAATGTTTGAGAAGCAGAGGTTTAGGAAACAGCTTTGGGAGAAATCAAACCAAGAGAGGGGTAGGAATTGCAAGAAGTGGCCCTGGAATGTGAGGCTGTGACCAGCATGACCTTGTCTCAGCTCATAGTACCTGCAATTAAACCTTTTGTCCAAACAAGATCTTATTCTGAGGTTCCAAGTAGATATGAACTTGGGAGAGGACAGCATTTAACCCAGTGCAGAGGAGAAGACTTGCAAGAACCACAGACAGGGCACTGGGACTCCTGAGTTCAGCTCCTGGCTGGGGCTACTCCAGGGGCTTCTGTTTCCATGTGCATTTTAAAAAAAATGGTCATTGAAATCCTTTTTTTTGAGACAGAGTCTTGCTTTGTCACCCAGGCTAGAGTGCAGTGGCATGATCTCGGCTCACTGCAATCTCTACCTCCCGGGTTCGAGCGATTCTCCTGCCTCAGCCTCCAGAGTAGCTGGGATTACAGGTGTGTTCTGTGTCTGGCTAATTTTTGTGTATTTAGTAGAGATGGTGTTTCACCATGTTGGTCAGGCTAGTCTCGAACTCCTGACCTTGTGATCCACCCACCTCGGCCCCCCAAAGTGCTGGGATTACAGGCATGAGCCACCGTGCCTGGCCGGTCATTGAAATCTTTTACATGCTAAAGTGGCAGAGAACACACTGAGGACAGATGAAAAGGCAGCTGATGAGAAGGGACTGAAATTCCACTCTCCTTGAGCATGCAGACTTCTCTGACCTGGTCCCTGGGAGAGGCCCCAAGCCTCTCCACTCCCCTCTCCTTGTATTTAAAACCGAGCTAATAACTTGGAACTCCCTCACAGGAATAGTGGAAAGAACTGATGTTTAAAATAAAATGATTCTCAACAGTGTTGCAAATGCGAGTTGCCTCAGGAATATTAACCAGGAGGAAAACTATCAAGGTTCCTCGATTCTAAATCTGGCAAGAGAAGGAGACGGGTGTGTGGGGAGAGAATGAGCTATTTTTAATTCCTGGCCAAGAAAAGAGTTTTTATAAATCCACACTAATATTATGAGCTCAGCCTGTTCGAACAATGAATTCTGTTTCCATAATTGTCTTGTCCACGGTAACCACCATAGAAAGAACAAGAATCATGGTGATTCCTAATGTAAATCTGCCTGGCTTCTCGGTGGCAGAGGAGGTTGGGCTGCTTTCAGAGCTCTGGGAGAGCCCCGAGGGAGGGGGGACAGTGGCCTCTGCTGGGGTCAAGCCATATGATTCGTAATTAATATTTAACACTGGTTTTAAAAACAAGTGACATGCCCCTTAATCCGTGCACATTATCTAAGGTCAGGAACAGAAGAAATGCATTTATTGATTGATTTGCTTTCTCCGCGCCCCACCCCCGCCCCGCCCATGCCTCTGTGTATATGTTAATATTGCCTACAATGTCCAGATTTTTTTTTAAAGGTCTAGATGCAACTGCAAACACAGCCAGTTCTCTGCTTTCCCTCTGTGCCACAGCCGAGGAAAGCGTGTTGGCAGGAAATTCACTTGTTCAAGGAGCTGGCTTCAGCCCCCTTCTGCCACCAGACCCCCTCCAAAACAGATTCCCTATTCACGGGAGAAGAGGACCATAGAAATTCAGTATGTAGTTTCACATGGGTTATTTTATTTTTTTTAGAAATATTCAAAACACAAAAAGTGCAGAGAATAACAGAACACGTTCCCAGGTTCGCACCACCCAAAACTGACAAATGCCAACATTTTCTGTCTTTGGGTTTTTGTTTTTGAAACAGGGTCTCGTTCTGTCACTCAGGCTGGAGTGCAGCGGTGCGATCACAGCTCATGGCAACATGGGTCTCCTGGGCTCAAGCAATCCTCGCAAGTAGCTGGGACCACAGGTGCACACCACCATGCCCAGCTGAGTTTCTGTTTTGGTGGGTTTTTTTTTTTTCCTTTGTAGAGATAGGATTTTCTTTATTGCTCAGGCTGGTCTTAAACTCCAGGGCTCAAGTGGTCCTCCTGCCTCAGCCTCCCAAAGTGCTGAGATTACAGGCAGGAGCCACCACACCCAGCATTTCATATATTTATATTTACAAAAATATAAAGTGGGCCAGACTCGGTGGCTCACACCCAACACTTTGGGAGGCCGAGGCAGGTGGATCACGAGGTCAAGAGATCGAGACCATCCTGGCCAATATGGTGAAATCCCATCTCTACTAAAAATACAAAAATTAGGTGGGCGTGGTGGTGCGTGCCTGTAATCCCAGCTACTTGGGAGGCTGACGCAGGAGAATCGCTGGAACTGAAGAGGTGGAGGTTGCAGTGAGCTGAGATTGTACCACTGCACTCCAGCCTGGCAACACGGCGAGACTCCATCTCAAAATAAAATAAATAGAAAATAAATAAATAATATATATATAGTGAACAAAACATCACAGATCAAATGAAGTCCCTTTCAGCCCCACATGCAAGGTCAGCCCCTCTCCCCTCTCTTGAGTCGGGGATGTGTCTCTACCCTCTTATAGGTGTACCCATGAACAATCTATAATATTGTTATAATATAGTTTGGGCTGCTTTGAGGTTCCTAGAACTTGTTTTGTGTCACTCGACATTGAATTTTTTTATAATTACCTGTGTTATCGATGCACATCTAGTCTATCCATTTCAATTACCTGTAGAAGTCTATCTTATGAATGCACCGCGTCTGGTCCACCTTCCCCCATTGATGGACATGGAGTTGTCTCCCACTGTTTCCCATTTTCAAACCATGAGTCTGCCATGTGTGTCTCCTGGTCTACATGTTCCCATGGACTTTCTGGGTCATGGGGTCACACAGGTTCAACTTCACCGGGTACTGCCCAGTTGCTCCAAGGCGGGATCAACCTGCATTTGCATCAGCAGGTCATGAGCGCGCCCTCTGCCCCACATACTCTCCAGCATTTACTACGGGCCAGCTTTTCTTCCTGATTGGAAACCATCTGACGGGTGATGAAGAGGAACGGTGCACATGGCTGTTTTCACATCACCATTCTGTGGCTTTCTCTGCTGGGGCTACTTAAATGCAGCAAAGGGGACAAAACCCAGAACAGACACTGGACGTGAGAAATCTGAAACTGGAGCATCTATGTTGTTCCAAAGGGTGGATCTCCAGGGAACTCACCACCAAGACTGCAGCCCCCACCACCCATCTGTCATGTCACTCGAGCAGAGTGACACTAAGTAAGTACTTTGAAAATGAGCTATGGGTCTGGGAGGACCTGGGTCCTTGTGTTGGTTCAAGACTTTCCTTAGACAACTGACTTCACTCTGGTAACCTCAGTTCCCTCAGCAGTCGAAGAAGGACAATGATCTCAATCATATAAGAGTAAAAGATGCAGTTATCTATGCAGGGCTCGGCACATCACTTGGTATAGAGTGCTGAGAAAGACTATTATTTTTGAGACAGGCCCTTCCTCTGTTGCCCAGGCTGTAGTACAGTGGCACAATCATGGCTCACTGCAGCCTCAACCTCCTGGACTCAGGTGATCCTCCAACCTCAGCCTCCCAAGGCTGGGACCACAGGCATGGAGATCCTTGGCTACGTGTTTTTATTTTTTGTAGCAATGGGGTTTCACTACGTTGCCCAGGCTGGACGTGAGCTCCTGGACTCAAGAGATCCTCCTGTGTCAGCCTCCCAAAGTGCTGCAATTACAGGCATGAGCTACCACACCCAGTTTTATTAATAATGATAAATAATACAGTGAAATGACTCAGAGTCTGGGTTCCGGAATCGGACTGTTTGGGTTACTTTCCTGGCTTTGGCCTCTTGCTTGTTGTGTGTGTATCTTAGTTGTCTCATCTGCAAAATGGGGATGCAACGAATACCAACTTTTGTGAAAATCAAGTGCGATTGTGCATATAAAGGTCTTAGAACAAGGCATTATCCAGGGCCGGGCGGGGTGGGTCACGCCTGTAATCCCAGCACTTTGGGAGGCCGAGGCAGGTGGATCACGAGGTCAGGAGATCAAGACCATCCTGGCTAACACGGTGAAACCCTGTCTCTACTAAAAATACAAAAAATTGGCCGGGCGCGTTGGCTCAAGCCTGTAATCCCAGCACTTTGGGAGGCCGAGACGGGTGGATCACAAGGTCAGGAGATTGAGACCATCCTGGCTAACACAGTGAAACCCCGTCTCTACTAAAAAATACAAAAAAAAAACTAGCCGGGCGAGGTGGCGGGCGCCTGTAATCCCAGCTACTACTTGGAGGCTGAGGCAGGAGAATGGTGTAAACCCGGGAGGCGGAGCTTGCGGTGAGTTGAGATCTGGCCACTGCACTCCAGCCTGGGAGACAGAGCGAGACTCCGTCTCCAAAAAAAAAAAAAAAAAAAAAAAAATTAGCCGGGCATGGTGGTGGGCGCCTGTAGTCCCAGTTCGGGAGGCTGAGGCAGGAGAATGGCGTGAACCCAGGAGGCGGAGCTTGCAGTGAGCCGAGATTGCGCCACTGCACTCCAGCCTGGGCGACAGAGCGAGACTCTGTCTCAAAAAAAAAAAAAAAGTATGATCCATAGCAAGTGCTCAATTGCTTATATTCCTAACAGGGCAGACTATGGATGGCAGAGCTGTACCTTGTGATTGAACAGAATCTGATCAGGAACCTTGGCCTGGAAGCTCAGCAGACTGAACGTTTCACAGTGTGATGCAGCTTATTTGAAGTCATCCAGACCACAAGAGCTCCTTTCTCCTGACCTTTGATGTTGGCTGGTGGCTGGTGCGCACCGTAGGGAGTGCCCCGAGGACCCAGAGGCTCTCCTTCCTCCCCCTGCCTGCTGCTGTGCTATTAGGGAGGTCTGGCCTCCAAAGGCCTGGCCAGATCCTGGGAGAAAGAAAAAAAAAAAAAAAGACACAAAACTAGTGAGGGGAGTGCCTCATGCAGAAGCTGCCCCATGCATGAGCACAGGAAGAAAACAAATCGGACCGGCTCTGTAGCAGAAATGCCGGCAGGAAGCAACATGAATTCTCCCCTCTTCTGAGATAACCCCTGCCAGCATTCTGAGTGATGATAAATCACTCATTTCTGACACGGTTGATTTTTCAAAGCATTTTTAGAAGAAGCATCCAGCCGTCACATTTCAAACATAATTCAAATGCGGGGGAAAAAATCCTGCAATGTTTATTATTAATTAAACAGGATTATAGGACCGACTTGGTAGAAATGGGCAGAGGAAATGCAGGCATCGTCCCAAATTCCTTACATCCAACCTGCCAGACCTTCCTGGGAGAAGTTTCCAGATGAGACTCCTTTTGCCATAAATCCAAATATCTGTTCGTGCTTATCTGCGTTTTGATGCTGGAATTAGATGCTTCATGTGTGCGGATGTCGGAATATTTATTGATAGTTAAAATTTCATGTCCCCTGGATTGATGTTTGTGCATCAGGACAAATGACTAGTGTCTTGCCAGTAGTTTGAACAGGTGTAGGGTAAAGATTATTTAACACAGAGTTCTGCTTTCTGTCTTTAGATTCTCCAGGAAACGAGAAATCAAATCTCCGGGGACTATCCAGGTGGGAAATGGAAATAAATGATAAACATACAAATACCTCAGTTCTGTTTCCTATTGGTTGGGAGCGGGCTTTTTCTTTTATGATCTTGTTACTATTCCAGATTTATGAATTCTGAAAAATTTAGAGGCTATTTGAAATATTTAAATACATTTTAAAACCTGTGCGTGGGAAATGGAGCTATAACCTACAAGATCCAAAGTGTCTTTCACAAGCCCGTGCTCTGCTCCGGGAGGGTTCCGCCGTTCGGGGCCCAGGCTCCATCAGAGCAGCAGGAGCTGCAGAACTACAGCTGGATCGGAGGATGGACCTGCCCCACCCTGGGCTGTCACTGGGGGGGCCCAGTGTTATCCCAGAGGAACTGCTACCCGGACCACTGTCCTTGAGTATGTCTGCAAGAATGCCACAAAAATCACTAGATGTGGCTGATGCCAGCCCTGTTCATTAAAAGCAGGTGCCCACCCCATCTCTACTAAAAATAAAAGCCAGGTGTGGTGGCAGGTGCTTGTAGTCGCAGCTACTCAGAAGGCTGAGGCAGGAGAATGGCCGGAACCTGGGAGGCGGAGGTTGCAGTGAGCTGAGATCACGCCACTGCACTCCAGTCTGGGGGACAGAGCAAGACTCCATCTCAAAAAAAAAAAAAAAAAAAAAGTAGGTGCCCAACACAGTGTCTTGCTCATAGCTCACAAATGGATCCATCTTTCCTTGGTCCTCCCAAAGGGCAGAAGCCCGTCTACCTTCGGGGTCGGACAGGGTGTGATCGGGAGTGTGTCATCTGTAGGGAATTTTAAAACAATAACACCCCAACTCAAAGTCAATCTGCTCTTCATTCTCGCCACGTGCGATTCTACACAATGCCAGGGATAACATATGTCTCCCCCTCAGTCTCTTTGTTGGTCTAATTTCTAGACAATTGCCACAGTTACTGTTGAGTTTTAATAATATCGCTTCAGATTGGCACATTGAATGACTTGTCCTCTAAACAAATAGTCTTCGATGTGGAGGTTAATTTGGAGAAGTCCCCATTGTGGAGTCACCCCTAGCACTCAGGGAGCCAGCAGCACGTGCTCATGTGAAGAGGAAGTCTGCCAAGATTCTGAATCACTAGGGCTCACTTGGTGTGGAGTTCAGGTCCTCATCCCCTGTGGCATTGCATATTACATATTAACTGTGTTTAGTAGATTCAGAATAAACAATAGCACAGTCATTATGAAGACAAAGAGAATTTGAATTGCTTTAATTCTGCCTTTCCTTGTGACCATTTGGAGTTTTAATTTTATAATTAAAACAGCAAAACGAACTGAGACATGTCATGTTTTGTTCCATACGTGCAAATATTAGTGTATACAAGAGATATTTTACTGAATTCAAACAGTAACTGTTGCATGATGGTGACAGAAAATAATTTTGTCTATTGAGGAGAGGCATATTAGAAATGATGGGCTTCAGGTGTCTATTTTGCCTGGCGTATCACTGTCTCCCAGCATGACGTTCAGTTCTATAAGCATTTACCAGGTCAGGACCCTGAGGGCACAGCAGGGACTGCAATAGACATTTTCAAACCATGTGTTCCACAGTTAATTATTTGAATATAAATGTCATAAATGCTATAAGAATAATGTAGGAAGTTGCTATATTGTCTATTTCTGTATAACAAATTGCTAGAAAACTTAATGGCTTAAAAAAAAATACACGTTTATTATGTCAGTTTCTTTGAGCCAGGAATTTGCAAGTGATTTAGCTGAGTGGTTCTGGCTCAGGGACTCTCATGAGGATACAATCAAGATGCTGGCCAGGGCTGCATCATCCAGAGCTCAATTGAGACTGGAGGATCCACTTCCAAACTCCCTCACATGGCTGTTGGTAGGAGGCCTCAGCTCCTCACCATGGAGGTTTCCCCAAAGGACTGCTTGAGTGTCCTCACAACATGGCGGCCGGCTTCTCCCAGAGCAAGTAATCCAAGGGAGAACACAAGGAGGAAGTCACACAATGCCTTTTATGATCTAGCTTCAGAAGACACACCTTGTCACTTCTATTTATTAGAAGTTTATTAGAAGTATTCTATTTATTAGAAGTTCCTAAGTCCAGCCCCATGTAAGGAGAGGTGAATTGGGTTCCATTTTGGAGATAGGAATGTCAACAAATTCATGTAATTTTAAATGTATTGCCTATCTGTAGATTTATTTGAGATAAGGTCTGGCTCTGTCACCCAGGCTAGAGTATATGGTGCAATATTGGCTCACTGCAACCTCCACCTCCTGGACTCAAGTCATTTTCCCACCTCAGCCTCCCAAGTAGCTGGGACTACAGGCATGCACCACTACACCTGGCTACTTTTTGTATATTTTGTAGAGATGAGGTTTTGCCATGTTGTCCAGGCTGGTCTCAAACTCCTGGGCTCAAATGATCTGCCCACCTCAGCCTCCCAAAGTGCTGGGATTATAGGCATGAGCCACCATGCCTGGCCATCACTAACAATTTTTTTTTTTTAAGAGATGGGGGTCTTGCTCTGTCACCCAGGCTGGAATGCAGTGGCGCAATCACAGCTCAAAGCAGCCTCCAACTTGCAGGCTCAAGGGATCCTTCTGCCTCAGCCTCCCGAGTAGCTGGGACCACAGGCCTGTGCCACCACACCCAGTGAATTTTTTTTTTTTTTTTTTTTAGGGACAGGGCTCTCACTATGTTGCCCAGGCTGATCTTGAACTCCTGGTTTCAAGCAATCCTTACACCTAAGTGTCCTAGGGGATTCTAGCTCTGACGTGTGAAGGGGAACTAGGCAGGTAAAGGAGGAGTAAAGAACATTTTGGGCAGGGGAAACGGTATGCTTCAAGGCCATGGAGTGGACAGGAGTAGAGCTGCTGCAGTGCAGACAGTGGAGAGGAAAGTGGCCACCGACTCAGACAGGCAGGGCTGGGATCATGTCATGGGGAGGAGTCGGGGTTTTATCCTAATGGTGAGAGGAGTGCGTGCAGCAGGGGCTTGCCAGGATCTAATTTGCATTATTCCGGACATCTATGGCAATCCCATGGAGAACAAATCAGAGGGAGGCAGGAATAGATGGGAAAAGAACTCATTGGAACACAGTTACCCTAGTCCACACTGCAGGGATGATGGCCTGGACTAGGGAGTGGCAGGGGGACTAGAAATAGCCGCCTGGGCTAGGCGCGGTGGCTTATATAATCCCAGCACTTTGGGAGGCTGAGACGGGTGGATCACTTGAGGTCAGGAGTTCCAGACCAGCCTGGCCAACATGGTGAGACCCTGTCTCTACTAAAAATATAGAAATTAGCAGGGCGGCCGGGCGCGGTGGCTCACGCTTGTAATCCAGCACTTTGGGAGGCTGAGGTGGGCGGATCACGAGGTCAGGAGATCGAGACCATCCTGGCTAACATGGTGAAACTCTATCTCTACTAAAAATACACACAAAAAATTAGCCAGGCATGGTGGCAGGCGCCTGTAGTCCCAGCTACTCGGGAGGCTGAGGCAGAAGAATGGCGTGAACCTGAGAGGCAGAGCTTGCAGTGAGCCGAGATGGCACCACTGCACTCCAGCCTGGGCAACAGAGTGAGACTCCACCTCTAAAAAAAAAAAAAGAAAGAAAAGAAATTAGCAGGGCATGGTGGTGTGCTCCAGTAATCCCAGCTACTTGAGAGGCTGAGGCATGAAAATTGCTTCAGCCTGTGAGGTGGAGGTTACAGTGAGCCGGGATCACACCACTGCACACCAGCCTGGGCAACAGAGTGAGACCCTGTCTCCAAAAAAAAAAAAAAAAAAAAGATATAAAAATTGTGGTAAGAAAGAGGCACCTGGACCCCAGTCATATTTACTGATTGGCTGTGTGGTGATGAGGGAGGGAGGGAGGGGTCAGAGGTGTTGCTCAGGTTTGGGGCTTATCAGCTGCCCAAGGAGGTGGCAAGTGGAGCCATCTACTCTGATAGGAAAACACTGGAGGAGAGGGAGCAGGTCACAAGAGCAAGATCCTAAACTGAGCTTCAACACACTCAGCTTGACAGCTCTACCAGATATCCCAATAGCCACAGCACGTAGAGAGCCAGATATAGCAGGCTCGAATTCAAGTTTGGAGATATCCATGTGGCCATGGGTTTAGCCTCTTGGGGAGAGAATAAAGGCAGTTGATTAGATAAAAGAGAAGGTGGAAGACGGCATTTGCATCCCCTGTTAAGTGAAAGACTTTTCTACTTTTGTGATTTGATGACATACGTCAAAAATGACCAGTTTTACAGGCATGGTGACTCGCCTGTAATCCTAGCATTTTGGGAGGCTGAGGTGGGCAGATCTCAAGGTCAAGAGCTCGAGAACTTCT